ACCTTCCCTCATTTCCATCACACTTTACTCCATGTGGAGCATGCCTCTACAACAAGTAGCAGACAATATAATTAGTAGGACACAGAGCAATATGGGTGGGAAGAGGGTCTTAGATATTGAAACAGCAATGGGAAAACTGCTGTTTATTACACCCTTCTTTACTTCAACCACCAAGGGGAATTTTAAAGAAAATAAAATTATCACAAGGATTGATGCAGAACTACTAATCTGCACTGTCACATTTCTGAAGGCTTTTCAACCCTTGCAACCACTTAGCTTTTTATACCAGAATTATTTAAGCGTTTCTCCTTTGCCCCGTCATATAAACATTGATGTTGTTTTCCAAGGCGCCTTTCTGATGGCTAAATGATGAGATATTACTATAATGACCAAAATGCAAAAGGCCTCAGGGGTCTACACGAGTTTGGACTATTGAGTGAGGGATCTGTTAAAATGCACGTTCAACTTGTTTTTCCTTTTCAACAGTAGACTCATCCGTCGAGTCATCAACTGATTTTAACTCCCCTCCGTTTCAAAAGAGTCAAAGTAAGTTGCTTACTTCTATGAGTAATATATCATTCTAAGCTGGGGCTGTTTTAAGTTAAGGAAATGACAAAACTACAGTACCAGCAGATTGTATTCCTCTCTCTCGGCGCCCGTGGGGACGTTGAGAATTTACAAATATTCAAATTAGCCAGTTCTCTGGTAGCCCTGATTGGCTACGTTTCCAACTGTGACTTGCTGAAAAGGGAAGAGAGGAGGCAACCGTTCGTCTCGCGCTAATTTTCTGCACGGGGAGGATGGGTAGGAAAAAACATTGGAGCAGATTCGGTTGGAACCACAAGTACGCATGTGCGGGATTGGGAACAGGGGCTTGATTGAGGGACTGATGGGAGTGAGAAAGCGAAAGACATAGAATGCGCGCGCCGCCGCGTTTGCTCTCGGGATTTGTATTCCCTACGGCAGCTCGAACCATCTCCATGACAACCCTCTCTGCTCCAGCCACCTTTCTCTCCGCATCCGCATTTCCGCTTTGATGTCACCTAATTAAAGCCAAGAAGGAAAGGCATCCCGGGATTTAATCTGGACCAATGAGAAAGCAGGATGTTTTGTTCCCCTCAAATGAATTTAAGCAGGCGGAGTTTTTCAGGCCTCGGATACAGTTAATCTCCTGGTTGAGTTGGAGCAGACAATAAGTAATAAATTCGGTTGCTTATGACTGGAATCGGTACAAATTGGGTTGAGATAGGGGAAAGAGAGGTGAAGGGGAGTCGGGGGCCGCGCGTAGAAATGGGCGGATACAAGAGTGGGCCTGGAGGTCACGCCCTTTATTGATCCAGACCATGCCTCTTTTGCACTCCCTCCGCCGTCCCCCCAGCAAAGGGCGCGGAAGGGCCTCGCTTCTGCGGCTTTAACTGGAGGCGGCTGCTCTCGCCGCAGCATATGGAAAGTCACCGGTTTTTGGTTCTTCATTGTATTCTCGACTCCTACCTCGTTTGCTCCCACAGACCCTGGAGTAGGTTACAATGAACATCAAGTACGCATTCACAAAGTGCTAAATAAGAAATCCTGTACTATGCACGCGTAGGCAACAGTGAGCTCATTCGTTTCTACCGGTCTACAGCCTGTAGTAATCAATTCATCCCAGGCTGTTCTCAGATGATAGAAATGCTCGCTCTTTGCAGACAACGTAATTTTTGGCCAGGCTGGCTGGGAATGGCGAGAGTTGTGGTCTCTTCCATCCAGAGTGCACCGGGATGGAGGAAACTGCTGTTTCCAGCTGCAAGTCTAAGCCTTTACCCCTTTTTCTTCTCCATTTCCACTGTCTTTCTTCAGTCCCCAAAGCAAAGTATTCTGCAACTGTTATTACTTAGTCCCTGCCAACAGAGTTGGTCTTTACTCATATTTCTTAGGCTTCTACTGAGAACAAGGGGCTTTCCCTTCATACAGCTTTCCACATAAGTAAACATACCACCTTTTCTGTCCCTAACTCACATACAGTATTTCTCTTTTACTGGGGATGAAATTGTATCATTTCCCAACAGTGTTTTCAGTGGGCTCACACTGAATTGTAGCTTAGCTAACCGCATTTTAGCCTAGCCTGCACAGAGCCCCATCATACAGCTGGTTTATGATTTGATCTATTATGCAAACTCTGGGAATAGATTAATTCAGTAAACCATATTTCAGTTAATCAAGGGTTAGTGTGCAGTGTAAACACTACTGTTCACTGCTCCTTAGCAACTTGGATTAAAAACTCCTCCTGATATTGTTTTCTTTATTCATTTTGCCAGTTCATGTTCATTCTTTCCAACGCAGCAACCCTTTATACTCTTTAATTTCCTACCAACATTCAGCATCAGTTTTCTTGAACAAAGTTGATTACAACCACTCTTCCCATTGTTGGAAAGCAGGGCATAAGAAAAACTCATTACACAAAATAACAAAAAAAAAGGTGGCTGATGTGATTACTGCTTTATCTAGAGCCAACATTATTACCATTGTTGCTTGCTGACATGAATTCATTTATTTAGTTGTATAGGTAACTATAGTTAACTATGTTTTAAATAATTAATTTATGTTCTGGAAATGTGCAGGGAAGTCTGTAAATATGAAGCAGCTGCAGAAACCATTCTAGCCTTTTTTTTGGCATTTGTGCATGGACAATACACCTCATAAGAGATGTTAAAACTTTTTATCAGTCCCCAAATCAATGTCAGATTTCTTATTTATTTTTTCATTAAAATTGTGAAATTAAACATCTGGTTTTGTACAACAGGTACACTTCACTTTAAAATTTTTGCATGGACAACCCTGGCATATTCTGTTAAAGGAACAGAATGTATTTGTTTATGTATTTACTAGGCTTATATGTCACTCCAGTCGTTGATGTCTCAGAGTGGCATGCCTATCTGACATACATGATGAAAAAAAAAAAATTACACAAAAATTGAAGTATACGCACACACACACCAGGAATGTCACTTACATTATACAAATACTCAAAAGACTAGGAAATAACATAAAAACTTTCCAACCTCCAAGGCCTGCTGGAACAGCTAAAAAACAATAGGGAGGAGCCATTCAAATTTCTGGAAGGATGCTGTTATACAGAAGGGGGCAGGAGAAGGCTGTGGATGACATTCTGCGAGAAGAGATACCAAAGGAATCTACACTAAAGCAAAAAGTAAATAAAGGATGAATGACTATAAGAAGAGCCTTCTGTTCCAGGAGGAGTCATAATTGGTACACAGGATGGAGCTGTGTCCTCCTAGCCAGCTCTTAGCCTAGAGGGAGCTATGAGTTAAGGAGGACTCTCAAATTACAAGCCAATTCCATACCAGAATCAAATATGGAGTCTCCTTGAAATTAGATGACCTTTGAATCCAAACCCTTTCATCTTGCTGGGATTGAGCCTAAACCTGTTCTTCGCATTCAGACAGGCACCAGAACAAAATTACTGTTCAACCTCAGGTTGAGATGTAAAGCTGAATATCATCTGCATGCTAGCAGTATTACTATGCAGGTCATCTGTCCATGTTGGTGGATGACCTTGCCTAAAGACTTCATTTAGATGTTAAATTGGAACCAAGAGTGTGGAGGCTTGCACCTTGCTGCAGAGGAAGAACCTGGGTCTTGATCTCCCCCACTGGAACTACCCATTTAGGAAGGAGAACCACTGCAAAACAATGTCCCCGATTCCCAACCTTTGTTGGTGATCCAACAGGATACCATGTTTAATGGTATCAAAGGCTGCTAAGAGGACAAGCAATACCAGGAGAGTCACATTTCCTCTATCCTGACCTTGCCAGAAGTCATCCACAAGAACTATCTAACTGGCATTGGATCAGATAGTCCATTTCATCTAGGGCTCTCTAACTGCAATCCCACAGCCTTCTCAAAAACTTAAATCTCTGTTGCAGGTGAGATCTTCTTGTGTATACTCCATCCTACCTGAGCTATGCTAACGCAACTCTCAGTGTGCCATGTTATGCCTCTAATGTGACAATGCACATTTGGTTAGTCACTCTCCTATATCATGTTCATTTGCCAATAGTGCAATCAGCTTAATGGAAATTACTAGGAAATGGCACAATCCATGTTAGAGAAAAAAATAACAGTTAAATAATCCAAAATCCCATTGTGTTTTTTGTAAGGTTACTGTAATAGTGAAGCCAAGAGCTCAGGTCACTCTTTTTAAAAAAAAAATTGGTGAGTGTCCATGTTTTGGGAGAGTTCACATTATAGAGTAGAATTAATGAATGTTAAATGTATACAATTTTTTCATTGTTATTTTAACTGTTTCATGCATTTATTTTTATAATATGGCAGCATTGGTGGAAAACCCACTACAAAAAAAATATGAATACACCTAAATTTTAAATTAAAAGCATATTTCTACTAAAGTATAATATACTTCAGGACTCAGGCTTTTAAAAAAAACTCTCCACATTTTTATCATTTGTAATTGTGTACACATACATAGAAAGACATGTTCAGACAACTGTGAATGAAACAAACAAACCTTTCCTTAGTAACAGAAAAACTGATTCCTTGTCATAACAGACTGTACTGATAATTACTCCAAAGTAACTTCTGATTTGTTCAAGAATCTGCTATGATTTTAATCCTATGGTGTAAATAGATCAAGTGTTTGAAGCATAGTTTAACATCTCTTCAGCTGAGATTTCACTGCACTGTGTTTGTTTCTTATTCTGCTTAGAGATCCCAAGATGACAACCACAACATACTCCTTCCATTACGAAGAGATCTGGGAAGAGCCTAAAAATCATTCTAAAGAATGGAGCCAGAATATCAGGTCAGTTTTAATAAATATAAAAATTAAATATACAAGAGAGGGCCCCAGAACTATATACAAAATATTTTTCTCTTTTTAAAATTAGAATTATATATTCTTAGGTGTTAAAAATGTCAGGGCTCTTTAAAATGGATTCTAAGGTTTCAGAAATCCAAATTAGTGTACCACTTCAATTATGAGTTCTTTAATTGTATACTTACTGTATATAGTGAGATACACATGCACAGACTCACATACACAACTGTATGTTTTTCTCAGTTTTTTTACTCTAACTTTTCTAAATGCCCTCTCAAAGTTGTCTTGATTTCACTGGCATTTGCTTCCAGGTAATTATGTCTTGGGTTCCATTCTGTATATGACTACTTAGAAGTAATTTCATCTGAGCCCAACAGGGTATTCTTCTGAGTGGAATGTAAAAGATTACATTGTGAGGTTGCCATTCTAAACATAAATACTTAAAAGTAAGCTGCACTGAACACAGTGGAGAATTGATTTTCTGGAATGTTTTCAGATGAGGGAAAACCTGTAAAGGACGCAGGGAGATTGCACAATAAAAATCTAATCTGGAAGCACCCTTGGAAGATGTGGGTTTTTAAAATGCAGTTAAATAAGCATTGCTTTCTCATCTAAAGCAAAACCCTATTGTTCCTACATAAAGCTCATTTGAGACACCTGTATATGTAGCTAATATTAATATAGTTTCTCAATAGATAGGGAGATACTGAATGCAAATATATTTATTTGTATTTAGTTCTTTCTGGCTTTTTTCCAGCAATTTTATTATTCAAACATTTATTAGAAAGTTCTTGTTAGTTAACTTGGATTCTACTTTTTTAATTCAATAGGGTCTAACTTTGTATCATGAGATAATATTTGATGGGTTTTAACAGATGTTAACCCATCTCAGGAAATGCAGAGACCACATATAAACATTTCTTTTATCTTAACTTTCCCTTCAACTGCATACTTACAGGAAAACCTGAGCCTTTTAGATTCAAGTTTCAATCCAAGTTCTCTCATTCTGCTTATCAGGTATCAGTACTGATATGGTATTCAAGAAAGGAGCATGTTCTTTTTGGGTATAGCTTTGTATTCCAGAATTTAAGGAGGGATAAAGTATAAAAGAAGCACTACCTGTATTGAAATAGATACTTAAAGTTTAGATGTCCACAATGGATTAAATTCACAATATATTGACGTTAATAAAAGGATTGAGAATCAAAAGTGTTTTTCCCTTAGCAGAGGAGGATATCTGATCACTTAGATATAATTATTAATGAAAAGCGACTTTACAGATGGTGGCAATCCTTCTGACAGAAGAAAAGAACTTGGAGAAATACATCCAATTAATAAGTTAGCAAAGGGGGAAGGCAGGTTATTTCATTTTGTAAGTTATTTAGTAAATTAATGCTCAGACTCACAGATAGATGGATATGAATATTCACAAATGGTGGATGAAATTTGCTTTCTTTTTCTGACAGAATGAGGGTATCAGATGAAACTCAAAGATACCCATTTCACAAAAAAAGACAAGAGCTGGAAGAGTTGGGTGAGAAGGATGTGTCTGAGCTGGACTTCTTTCCAGGTGGGCTGGAAATGGAGGAAAGTGCACTGGATGCCACTGACCAGGAAGCGGTGATGTATGAAGAAAAAAGTGGAACAGACTCCTGTCCCAGTGCTATTGCCAAGAAAAAGAAGAGGAAAAAGAGGTTAGAAATAAGCTCTGAAAGGCTTATAAAATCTGGTTTTATTTATTAAAAGAGGAAGAGAAAAGAGTGAGACTGATAATAAGCACTGAGAGGAAATTGTTGAACTAAATAGCTGATATTTCTAATCTCCCTTTCACTCTCCAACGTCCTCTTAATGTCTCCAACAGACAGGATACATCTCAATATATCCTGAATGTCTTTTTTTTTTTTTAATGTTTACTCTGAAATACATAGTTAGGATGAAAGATAGCAGATGGTTCACACACTATACTAAAACAGAATGTGTGATCTGTTTGTTTTGGCTTAGCATAACCAGTTGTTCTTTATAGAACCAACCACAGTTAAACAAGCATGGTTAATGCAGTGTGTGAACTGAGTCACTAACTTCACAGGACTTCCCTGTGAGATTCCTGGCAATTGAACATAAGAATTTAACATAAGTAGACCCGGGCAGAATCAGATAAAATGCCTATCTAGTCCAGCACTTTCTGCCTTCAACTAGGTCACAAGCAGACTATGAGGGCTATGGCCTTCTCCTGTCACTACTTTCCAGCACCTGGTATTCTGCATGCTTCTTTTGATTCTGGAGGTGTACTTTGGCACAGCATAATAAAAATTCAGCTGTTTTTCATCATTTTTATAAGCGTAGAACAAATATAAGCTATTGTGCACATAAGACAGCAATTTCTATTCTGCCTGGGATTGACGGTTGGCAATCTTGCTGCATGCCTTAAAGCCAGGCAGGTTCTGTGTCTCTCTCTGTCCAGTGAAGCATATTGTTTGCGGTCTAACTGACACCTCATCCAAAGCCACGAGAGTCTCACGCTCATTTTTCCTCTTGCTGATTCGCCAGCATGCACATTTGAAAGTTTCCTTGAACACGATATTCTTTTCAGCGATGGTAGATGAACCAAGCCATGATGCTGTACCTGTGCAGGAATGCAGAAGCATGGGACAAAAGACTGAATCTTGTTTAAGAGCAAGAGCAATGTTCTCAGTCTCTGAAAACATTTAATTCATTTCTGAATTTGGTTTTAAACCTCCTGAAGGTGCTATTCTTACTAAAATATCATAGATTTATGCTGCCCTTCCTTGAGTTCCATACAAAGTAAAGTGAAAATAAAATCTCTGTATTAACTTAAAACATGGCAGGATCCATATCCAAATGCTGATTTAATGTGTGATTTGTGTTGCTTAGAATTGAATTTTGGTTATTTTTTTCCAAATTACTTCTACTTATTACTGCTTTTGATTACACATTTTTTGCTAAAGAATCAGAACAAACTCAGATTAGGATTTGTATCTCTCACAATCTCTCTATATCCCCACCCTGGTGCCACCAAATAGTTTCTGCTTCTGTCATTGACCTGGGACCCTAATCATCAAATCATTAAACCTATGTAATGTCCAAACATGTTTGATTTTGTAGATATTAAATAATTAATAATATCTGTTAAATAATTATTTCTACCCCATTTATGTAGGGTAGGCTATCATTGTGTCTTGCACTTTAGGTAGCATGATGTGGCAGGGCCCTGTTTCCTATGAACTTATAATTTGAAACAATTTTCATGTATTAGAACTCCTATTAATGATTTATAGCAATTGCAGAATGTTAAATTCAGAATCCTAAACACATTGTAAATGTAGTCTCTCATTATTATAGCTAAAGATAATCAAAGCATGGATTATGAGTTTAATGCAGCTGCAGAGAACATATAAATACGAGTAGCATTAAACAAAGAAGTACTTAGTATGCATGTATACTGGAGCACAGCATTGTTTGGAGCATTAGTATGTGCTTTAGCCTATGAGTCATTCCTCCTGAACAAGCCCCTATTCAGCAACAAGGTGTAAAATTACCTCAATCTGTAAAGGATTCAGACAGGAGCTTGTAAAAAATTTACAGCTTTCAAACAGGAGACTGGTCTACTCATAACCAAAGATATCAGGACATATTCATTAGATTCTGATGTCACTTGTGAAGCTACATTGCATATTAGAACACATTTCTAATCAATGTCTTAAATTGGATATACTGTATCATTTTCTCAGTTGCAGACTATGCACCAGCAAGTTTATTTGTATGCTCCTTTTCCAGGTGCTTCTCAAAGGCATCTGAAAAGAAAAATCCATAAATTGTCAATATATAGGTATAACAAAATACACAGAATCATACCATATGAGTTTCAGCATAATGATATTGTATCTGTATTACATGCTAAAAAGACATTTAAAGCATTCAAATTTCAATAAACCCATCCATTTGATTGTTATATCAATGACTCCCATAGGATTCATGGCAATTTGTAGTGTGTATTAAAGCAATCCAACAGTAACAATAAAAAAATAAAGTAACACATTAAAATTACCACAGAATACCCCCTCCCATTACATGGTGTCTCCTCACATCCATGGTTCTGAGGAGCTTGATACAATAATTTGATCTTTACTATGTTCCTAAATATCAGGAGATACAAAACCACATTTCTTTCATAAACAATTATTACATAAATATCTTAGTTCACAACAATAAAAAAATTGACTAATTAAAATAATTGATCACCTTCCCCACCATGGCGTACTTCAGATGTGTTGAGATCATCTCCCATACTCCTGCAGTCTGACCTGATCTCTCAGGAAAGCAGAATAAGGTATGATAAAGGGATCTGGTGGGAAGTACCAAAATACAAATGAGAATTATTTAGAATAAATGAGTAATATCAGAAGAAAATCAATGGCTTGAATTAATCTGACACTGAAAAATGCATCAAGGTTTTTATATATGAAGGTTTCAGTAGTTTTGCTGACTGGATAACTTTATATGTTATGATCAATCTCATGTTTCTTTTACAACATATGGAAATGAAAGAGCATTTGGAGGGGAAGAAGTATTTACAAAGGTAGGCACAGGGTATGGGAAAAAGGGTTCAGAGGAAAGGGTGCAGATGAGAATCAGGAGCCATGGAAGAGACTAATCAGATCTTTTGCTTGCTGGTTTCCCCTTACAAATATTCTACCACATCTTTGTATTCCTGAACAAGTATAGGCTTGGGAATGTATACTAGCCCTCTTCAAAGTACAATTTAAAAAAGCATAATTATTATGCATAATTTAGGTAATGTTTAATACTGATTTGGTAATCATTTTCTTGAGGTTGTATTATAAACTGAGATTCAGTCCTGGAAGCCCATAGCCAAGGTGGGATTTCAGTGAGCTCTCTCAGTTCTCCACAATAACACTCCATCCACAGTTGGAAGAGACGCAAAAACCAGAAAGTTCTTAAATGCTTTGCAGTAAACTATGAATTGGTTTTGCCTGTCTGCCTCTGTCTTTCTTCTTCTTTTTATGTTTTCCAGATGACCAGTGATAAATCTGACCAACTGTAAATATGAGAGTGGTAAGTGTAATCTACAGTTATGAGGCTGAGTGTATTTCTCAGTTGGTTCAGTGGGGAAAAAGCCCACAATTTTTATTAAAAAAGCAACTTCCAAATAACTCTAATGAGATTTTGAGAAGGCCAGCTTTTGTTTAAAAACATTCAAAAGATTTTTTTGAATGAACAATTGAAAGTATTGTTTGGAATCTAACATTCAACTTCAGTATTCACACATTCATCTCAGGTTTTTCTTTATTATAATTCCTAAATGTATGTGTTGGTGCTTTTCCAAAGCTGTCTTATATTATCCAATGTGAGAGTAGCAATTTAAAGATAAGATTGTAGAGGAATTCTAACAGGTTCACCAACAGGAGTTTGGCACATGCTCATTTTAAGCCAACAATAATCTGGTATATTTTTCCATATAATTAAAATACATAGCTTAGTTATTATAATTAACTTATGATGTATCCCTCTGAATGGAACCCGCTCCTCCATTTCCTCTCCCTAGTATTTCTACATGAAACTGATGCGATCATCTCTCTTCCTATCACACAGTACGTCGGGCTGCCAAGATGTGTGGGCTTCGGGAAGGAACTGAAATTGATGACTGGACCTTGTATTGGACGGATTATTCTGTCTCTCTGGATCGGGTAATGGAGATGAAAAGTTACCAGGTATTTACTGTCACCCCAAGATGGTGCTAAAGGATATGTGTTTTTATTTGTGTAAAAGATGTAAAGATTTAGGTTGCACTGAAGATTTACCTTTGATCTTGTTTTCTAGAAAATAAATCATTTCCCTGGGATGACAGAAATCTGTAGGAAGGACCTTCTAGCCAGGAATATGGGCAGAATGCTAAAGCTTTTTCCCAAGGAATTTAACTTCTTTCCCAGGACCTGGTGTCTTCCTGCTGAGTGAGTCTTCATAATACTCATATCCCATACTTTTCTTTTATTTAGCTTCTCTTTTTCATCACAAAGGTTTAGAAGATGAACATGGACATATGCAAATAAATTTGGGCCAAATGTTTTTAAAAAGTATACAAGTCTCTGAGAATCCCAGCCACTCTGTTATGGGCCCTAATTATTTTAAAACTTATCAGTTTTCTGTGACTTTCTGAGAATATTTTCCCCCACCCCCAGTGGAGTTGACTTTGAATATTAACCCTTATTAGATTTCAGTTCTCATAATTCCCTGGCACATAGCAAGATGTCTGATGGTTTTAGGGCTATTAGCCTGGCGTATTCTTAGGCTATTGTACATCTTTTAAATAACCTGTTTCTGCTTTCTTCTTTATTGTTCCCAGCTATGGTGAATTGCAGGCCTTTGGTAGAGCAAAAAAACATAAAACCTACATCTGTAAACCAGACTCTGGTTGTCAAGGCAAAGGCATTTTCATCACAAGAACTGTAAGAGATATCAAACCTGGAGAGGATATGATCTGCCAGCTCTATATCTCAAAGGTGATCCTCTTGTATTGAAACAGGCTGCCTGTGTTGCTGTGAGTCTTTCTAGCCATTTTTAACTAAAACTTGCAGATATTCAAAAGCAGTCTATTACTGAGGAATAAGATCAGTGTATCAAAAATCACTGACAATCAGTGAAGCTGTTCCATAAGAGAGAAGTACATGGACTAAAGTGTGGGAACTCCTAAACAGCATCTAGACATAGGAAGAACTTCATGCTGTCTGTGTGAAAGCATCTAGAAATCATGGGAAGGTGGGGAAGGAGGTGGGGAAATTTACTGGGTTTAGAGACACAAGAATGAAGACAGTTAAAGGGAGCCCAGTTAGGCAACAGACTGAGAGGGGCAGAATCCTGAAGGAAATCGGCCAAGACTTTGGTTACAAAGTTCCAGTCTAAATTAACTAGCAGATCATTAAAATACAAGCTGCATTATAAATCAGGTAAATTTAAAGCTCTTTAGAAAATTGGATTCAGATTGAATTCTTCATCAAGTACAAGTACCACTATCGTATCTTACAAACTAGAGTAACCACGGCTGAATTTGTATTATTTAAAATTTTAATCAATTACTTAGATGGAATTGTATATGTCATAATTTGGAGAAAAATAAGTAATACTTCCCAAGTAGGAAAATATTTAAAATTATTTTGATACAATAGAGAGTTACTAAAAGAAAATGAAAAAAGCAAATCACAGGTTACAAACAAAAAAACATGCATACATAGAAGAGGATGGGTTTTAGCCTGTTAGTAGTATATTTGAAAAGGATCTTAAGTTTTCAGTCTGTCACAGTCCAAACATGAGTTAATATAATGATGTGACTGGAAAAAAAAAGATGAATGAAATGTTAGATTGCAATAACAGAATCAGAGTTTCTGTATCATGTATCATTCAACTTTATTCCTTGTATATCCGATTATATCTGGAATGCTGTGCCTAGTCCTGGGCAGCGTAGCTTAAGAAGGGGACATAGATAAATTGGAATGTGTTCAGAGGAAGACAGTGAAGATGATCAGGGGAATGGACCACATGACAAGGAAATATATCAAATCTTTAAAAAATTGTGCATCAGATGCAGAAGATAATACCATCTCCAAGCTGTGCCTAGCTTTTTGCTCAAAAGATCCAGTTCTTGAGGAACTTAGATAAAGAATTTTAAAATTTTGGTGCAAGTCAATCATGACTGGAATATGTTCATGTATTTTTGCCTATTGCCCCCCACAATCACACAATGGAGAAAGTAGGAGTAACTTCAGTGTATTGGACACCCAACCCACATGAGCTCCCTGGTTGTCCAACATGAATAAAGCTCTGTCAGGGTGATATCACTCTGGTATGCTGGTGGCCTTTGGAACTTGGGGGGGTTCCATGAAGGAAAGGCAGAGTGGGGCTAGGAGTTGTTGGGGGTGATTTGAGCACAGTACAGACTGTGGTATGGCAGTGAATATTTGGCCTGGAGGAGTGAATATTTAGAGGGGTCATAAAGGTACTATTCAAATATCTGTTTGCTGCTACCCAGAAGTCAAATTTTAATTTAATGGACTTAAGTTACAGGAGATGGATTTTAATGAAACAATAAGAAGAACTTCATGTTGGCAAAGGCAAATCAACAATGGAAACTTCACTAAAGCAAGGGTGGGCAACTTTCTCTTTTAACTGAATGTTGCATATCCTTAGAAACAATCTCAAGGGGGCATCTTGTAGTCAGCTGAAATGAGTGGGTGGGGCCCAAGCTAAACATAGCTGAAGACACCTTTCTGTTTCTGGCACACTCTTTTTTTTCTTTCTGATACCATTTTCTTTTTCTCCAAAGCAATAGGCTATTGGGAAGGACAATATACCTTGTTGAATGAAATCTTGCAGACAGTTTCTGAAATTAAGCCAATGGCCTCATGCAGTCTTATGGCCATGGACTGTCCTCCCCAACTCAGAAGAATGGTAGGCCCTCTCTAACTCAAGGTCTTAAAGCACTGGTTTAGATAGCAATCGGTTGGGTATGCAGTTAAGGTTTATTATGCGCAGCATCATTCAAGAGGTTTGATTAGATGGCTTAAAAGGCCCTCTCTAGCTCTATGAATCTATGACTATTTAGCAGCCCCCACCCCCCAAGTTCTTCTGCTGTGCTTCTAGAAAAAACACAAAGAAGCTTTAATTAATATCAACAGAAGGAGCTTTTAAAGTTTAGGACAGTGTTTCTCAACCTTGGCAACTTAAAGATGTGTGGACTTCAAGCTGCCAAGGTTGAGAAGCACTGATTTAGGAAATCACTGAGAATGACCTTACATGTGTCCTTTTGAATACATATTGGTACTCAGTCCCATTACATGAATGGGACTGAGTACTAGACATTCTTAGTAATTTCACATAATAAAGAGCTTTTTGGCCTCTTTTGATCAAAAAATGCATGTGGATTAGTTTTCACTTGACTATAAGGAGTTAACAAAAACACAGAAGTATGTATAATGCCTGGTGTATGGTTTTCTAGAGGAAGTTGCATTTGTAGATATTTAATTGAAAATTAATCTTCTTTTCTCAAGCCATTTATTATTGATGGTTTCAAGTTTGATCTTCGGATTTATGTCTTGGTGACATCATGTGATCCACTACGGGTATTTGTTTATAAGGAGGGCCTTGCACGTTTTGCAACATCCATGTATTCAGACCCATCACAAAGCAATTTGGTAAGTCAAAAGGCAGAATTCTGTTGACATAAGTAGTCATACTAAAACATCAATGGATTTCAATTCAAGCCCCATCATTTTTTTAGTTTTCTCAATATTTCTCAATATTTTCCCAAAATTAATATTTAAATCTCACTAGATCAGAGGAACCTTTACTACAGTGTAATTTACTGAATTACACTGATATATGATTTTTCTCACA